AAAAAAAAAAAAACGGCTCTAAGCATTGAACGCAAACCAGCTGTAACAAACTAAGTCCATCTAAACATGTTATACAAACCACAGCTCACAGATCCAAGAAAGATAACAAGTAAATTGTTACATCAATCAAACTAATCTACCATTAGAAAAAAAAAGAATACCATCATCTAATATAATAATTAATATAGACAGAAACGAAAAGATAGACGTGAAACATAAACTTCAATATACAATTGCAGTATGAAAGTCCATAAATTACATCCTCATATATCTCAAAGTTACTGAAATAGAAGAACGGTAACTCATACAACACCCTCATATGTAACTAAAATCAATGTTAGGGTGAATCTCCACCCACGAAGCCCAGACCCCAAATCCATAACAATAACTTAATTACCCCAAAAGTCAAAAACCTCCATGCAAATGACCACTGACCAAAATCATCCCCAATTCATTACTGCAACACACTTTATCCAAGAACACCTCTACTGAAAATCAGCAACCAAACATACTATTTCAAGCGGATAACCACTGGAAAAATCTCAAATTCACTTAATTCCGTAAGTCTCTAAGTTAGCAAAAGTCGTAATCCGAGAAACCCAAACCAATATTAAGTAAAAAAAAAATTATCTTTTTCTCCTCAGATAAAGGCGCCAGAGGTTGCTTCTTCCCGGCAGCAGCCGCGGGGGGATATCGAGCTAAAGTGACGCCGCTTCTTGTCAGCCTCACCTGGTGATGTTGTCGTCGGAGTCGCCGACGTAGAAGTCTTTGCCGGCGAGTTTGACAAAAAATCGGTGAGAGGAAATGAAATCTAAGGGGAGAGGAGAACTCCATGGGGTGAGGGTGCAAGGTTCCAGAGAAGTATGAACAATATCTTTCTTCAATCTTTTTATGCCGGTCGCGTGTGTGGAAAAACGGGAAAAGTAGTTGTCATGTACAAATCAAATGACCATAACACTGAAAGCCGGTGTAAATATAAACATTTGATATTAGCAAATTCACTTATTGAAAATCTCATTTACTGGTAATCTAGAGCAAAACTGTACTGAAATATGACCTTGATTTTTGCGAGCATCAGCTTGAACCGGTCGAAGTCATTGAGGGTGGCCCTTCTCTTTTGAACAATGAGTTTCCTACCCCAAGAGCTCTTTTCCCATTTTCCCTTGACATCTACAAAAAAAAACATCATAAAGAAATTAAGCAATCGTCACTATAGACGAATTCAAAAGGTAGAGTAAGTTTTTCTATTTCCAAAGTGAAATACATACCAACAGCTCCCATAGCAAGCTATCAGAGTCTTTTTCTTCGGGATCCTTTTGATATCAATCTTGATATCCGTAAGAGAAAGCCTCTTGAAGTGAATCTGGCTTCTTACCATATCAGGGGCATCTACAAGAGCTTAAAGCAAGGCAAACAAATTAATGAACAAAAACTATCATAACAAATCAAACGAACCACTATAAAAATTACAGAAGTTCAAACACACGGTATATCTACAACTGCATGAGCAAGGGCCTCCAACTATATATAGCAGAAGCACCAAATGTCTTAATCGCGTCAATATTGAAAATGGGGCAATGATATATTGCAAATGCGAACTCATAATCAATGAACGATTTGCATAGGTAATAATTTACACTCTGAATTCTACTCATTTGCAGCATTCAATACCAACAAACGCATTTGTATCTCACATAATCAGACTACTGTAAAGATCCACCCAAGTACAATATTTCAAAAGCTAAGGGAAACAAAGAAAACCCACTAGGAGAACAAACAGTAACCAATTTATAGCTTTAATCAAGAGCGTGAAACATAAACTTAGTCCAAATTAAGGACAAATCTAAACCAATGGAGCTAAAGAAGACATTCAATCAGCATAGCTACGATAACACATATAGAAAACAAATTCTATCTCTGATCCTGAGCATGAAACATAAGCAAATTCCAAAATTAAGCACAAATCTCGACCAAAGGAGCCAAAAGAAGACAATCAATCAGCAAAATACGAAAATCAGCTCATCACACTGAATACCTGAAATCCACGGTAGTGATGTAGGCTCACTCCTCGAATGGGAAGCGAAAAACTTGAAGGGCTAGTTTTTCTCTTAATATACTTCATACTCTTGCTCTCTACTGAGAAGTTAAGCAAGTACAAAATAATTTTAATCATTACTAAATTTGAATTGAATAAAAAAATGAACAAAGGAATAAGCATCGTAGCCATTACGAACCGAAAACTCTTCCTCAATAGATCGTTGGCATGAGACGACACAGACCTACAAATTTTCATCATAAACCTCAAATTAACATAATCCATTTCGCTAATTAGACACGACGACAACTCAACAAAACTAAATAATATAGGAAACGAACAGAAAAGGTGCTGCACAACGTCAAGAGTAGCCAAAATACCCTCAAAGCCTTGAGAAAATATATGAACCACCTATATCTTGGAGAAGCCCCAAAGATGTTCCGAGGCCCGAGCATTGCAAAAATCTGGAAAAAAAAGGTTAATGGCAAGGATCAGGAAACCAAAGAGTGCACTTATCAACTCACACACACAAATATGCTCAGAAGTTGAAGAAGGAGAGCACTTCAACAGTTAAATGTGCACTTCAATTCTAGATTGTCGACTTATAATCCATAATCAGATTTGAACATAACAAATGAAAGAAATGAAAAGCCTAAAAAAAATAAATGCACTTGTGAAGAATCAGCCACCTGAGCCAAAAGCTGGTAGATCGAAGTCTTGAGTTCTCTTCGTTTGTACTATAAAGAGTTGACCTTTGTTAAGAAGAAAATGAAGCTCCCGACGTAAAGAAATTTTGAGACAAAAATAGAGGTTAGACCTAACTCAATAACAATAGTTGCCCTAAATTGAAATTTTTCTATGCTTTAATAGATATATTTAAAAAAAAAATATATATATATGCGGTACCTCTTTGTGCACTGGCAGAGCAAAGAGTCGGAGGTCTTGCCGGAGTACAAAGCCAGCGTTGGAATTGTGGGCGGTGACCCGCCTTTCCCAACCGACACGCTGCCTTCATTCCAACAAGATCCTACAAAGAAGCCAAAACAAAAAATCCCAATAGAAAACAACACATCAAATTTTCCATAAACAAAACAATCACTGCACCCAAATCATCAGTTCACTTTTAACAAACAATTAGAACCAAACCTCCAAAGTTTTCCATAGTTTCAGCCTCTAAAAAAAAACTCGACCGAACAACAATTCAGAGCCCTGATTTTATAGTCGAACTCAGAAATCAAAACGCAGATCAACTATTTTTGGAGTTCCAGGACCTTGGCAGGAGTTCTCATCCCTATGCCTGACCAAATTACCTTCAGGCTTCAACCCACAACCGCCATTAATACCAGAGGTGGAGACAACGGGTTGCGCTGCCGTTGGTTGGCAACTTCATCTCGAACACCACTATTGGACGGGTAGAGACATAACCGAAAGAGGCAATGGGAGGTGTGGGTCAGATATGCCGGCGGCACAGCGAATGAGCTCTCTGCTTCCAAGGAGGAGGTTTGAGAAAATGAAATAAAACGATTATTATAGATAGGGTCACTTTTAATCCTTAAGAGATGTCACAAAATCAATCGGCAAGGTAGGGCGGCGGAATCGTGCGGCACTCCAGAATTTTCGGCCTTTCGGACGGCCCAGGAAGAAGAACGTGGGTATGTGGCGTGTGGCAGCACATATACGCACGTCTGCCCAGATTTTGTGCGAGAAAATCCCGCTGAGGTAGACAACAAATAGAAATTACGCCTGCACCCCTCTAAAAGGTGAATGCAGCAGGGCTTTTTAGTAAAATCACATACCAGTAGAAGAAAGTGTGAATGAAAATGCATCTGAAGGCACAAAACGGTGCCGTTTATGGTCAACGAAGAAAAAAAAATAGCAAATGCCACTGTCGACCAACGGAGGGGTCCAAAAAGGACACGTGTCGCAACCACAACTGTCCAAACTCGTTTGTATATATATAAGA